GGGTCAATGTAACCACAGTGGGCTGAAAGGAGATTTTTACTTTTACAGCATTTTTTCTAACAAAGCATTTTCTGATCAGGCTTCCAAATTAAAGTAAAACAATCAAGAAAGAAAATTAAAGAAACTCAAAGGGACTATTATATCTTTTATGAAATGAGACAAAAGTCATTAATTTGAGAATTTACAATTATTCGGATACAGTTTTCCTTTTCTGTAAGAGACTGGACACAAGCATAGCCAGTTCTCAGAGAACATTGGGAGGTTCCATGAGTGAAAGAACTTAGAGCATGCTGTACCTTTGAAGGCAAATTAAAAGCATTTCTCATCTTTAGGTATGAACTGGAGCTTATTCATTTCCAATCTTCAAGGCATGTTATGAAGTGAAAAAATTGAAATATACCCAAAAAAGACAGTGCTAAGATCAATAGTGAGTGAGATGTTAAAAAAGAAACTTCCAAAAGGATTGTCTTTTAAGACAAAATTAGAATATGTGTAGTTTTAATGGACTGTGAAATGTTCTGTATAGGTTAAACCTATATTATTAAATTCTGGTCATTTATGAAAATAATGCAAAATAACCCTTCCCTCTTTTATTGCAGGAATCCTTGATTTTACAGTCTAAAGTTTTTCCCATTATCACATAAATGTTCTATCAGACATCCACCTGTAAGCATTTATGAGCTTTCCCTGCCCTCTTTGGTCACTCATTTGGAATTGTTGATGCAGAATGCTCATCTAATTTTGGAATTGAGGTAGAGTGCCCATTTTGGCAGCAGTAACTGGACAAAATTCTCACTCATTGTCAACATGACTTTTCAAGGTTTCTGAAGATATTTTCAAATTTTTTGTGATTTTGACCATGAACTGAAGTCGATTAGATTTTATTATCTTGGCAGAACTTCAAAATGCTTCAAATATATCACTAGCCATGAGCAGTTGCTCATGCATTGCAGGGAATACAAATATCTTAGTCTGTTTTCTATTATCTTCTCAACTATCTGAATAGAAATATGCTTTTACCACTCTTATCTCATGCTAAATATGGCAGCACTGTTTGTCTTAAGCATCTCTTAAGCATTTCTTAATACCAAGTTCCCAGAACTCTATAATGTAAAGATTCAGTTACTGAGAAATTGAGTCTTTGCACTGAATTGGAAAAATGCAAGTTAAAATGTTGTTTGTGTTGTTGTGGATACTAAGAATAAAGACAGCTACCTTTAGAAAATAAATAATAAATAATGGAATGGTCTACAGGAAAATAACCTACTACATAGTGACTACACAATTTACAGATGAGTATTGAGTTATCTGGAAGTAAAGGACTGGAGAATAGAAAATTCTGTTTCTAAGTGTGAAACCCATAGTTTGATTTTCTATTGTTTGTTTATTCGTGTATTTTTTTTTCTTCAGTTTGGTGTTGGAATGCTTTTTTGTTTTGTAGAACACTATTAAATGGGTTGATATGAAATACGTCAGCTATGCATTGGCCACCTCTGAGACTCTTTCACAACACATGGTCCGGCATTATAAAAATGTCTTTAGTGTTGGGCTCATAAAACTTCTGACAGAAAACCTCCACTTGATTCTTTTGAAGTCAATATATATTGACATGTACATATATCTCCTAGCTTTGTGCTATTACATGGAATATGGTACCTCATACCTGGATAACAGAGAAAATAGATACATACCATATTAATGGTCTGAATTCAAGAAAAAAGAATTGTACATTACAAGACTTAAGACAGTACTATCACATGCAGATATATTAACAGACATATTAGACATAATAATGGAATTTCAAAACTTTTCACACGTCCTTGCATCTTGTATAATTATTGTAAGAAACTGGAATTTCTGTAGCAGTCTACTGGGAGACAAGAAAACAAAAAAATCAGAACTGTAGCAAACAGTCTGAAAAGCACTGTTAAAAAAAAAAGAAAGAAAATATTGATCGATACTGAACTGCTTTAATGTGGATACAATATGAAAAGTGATGCTAAAGAGATCTGCTGCACAGGTGTCCAGATTAGTTAGATATCTAGAGTTCCTCTACCATCAACACAGAGGAAGAAACACTATAAGACTCCAGCCTATCATACCTAGATTAGAAATTTATTTTAAGAAGGGATGAAGTCAATTGTATACTTGATCTCATTGACCACAAGGAAATTTGCTTAGCTGCAGGCACCTACATGGCAGATGTCCATGTTTAGTTACTTGAATGCCATTGGATTTTTAATTTTTTTTTGTTTGGTTTTTTTTTTTTTTTTTTTTACAAATTTAATATGTTCTAAAATAAAATATTTTATTTGTTCAGGTTCTTTTTCATAATTTATTTCTCAATCTTCCAGTCTGTTGAAAATATCTCTATTATAACTAAATTTCTAGCTGACAGTTTCCCATATTTCAAGCATATCTATCCAGATTTTTAAACAGCTGAAGTTCATGCTTTTTCCTTGACTACAGCAAGATGGGGATGTAGAGGAGGTAGAAAGAGTGCAACCCATACTTCCTAGATCCCTCATAAATTGTTCAGGTGATTAACTACTAGCAGTGTTACACCCACTTCATTTCAGGTCTGAATTTACCTAGCTTTGGGTTTTTTTCCTTTGAAAAATTTTATTTCCTGTTTCACAGTACAGTTCTACTGCAAAACACTTGATATGCAGTACTTGTAGTAATTATATATTATTTCTGAAGATTTCATTGAATCTTAGTCTTGAAGCAGGATGCTCTAGCTACAGTGGTAGCTAGAATTTAAAATTCTCACATTTAACATAGGTTTTCTTATTTTTCTGTTAGCAATTGAAATAATATTATTATTCCATTTTATCACTGTAAAATATTTCTCATTATAATAAAAATTGGAGATTATAGAGGATAAATAAAAAACAGGTGATATTTATATTTTTCATCTGTCAGAAACGCTAATGATAAAATTTTAATGCTTTCGGATTCAGAAATTGAATTGCTGTCTGGATAACTAAGCATTTTAATAAAGCTGCAAGAAACATGAAAGAATTTAAAGAATTTAAAGTATTTACTTAGATTTTTCTTTTCTAATTCCTGTATATTTAGTAGAACTTTAATTCTGTCTCTGTACCCTTTATTGAAACAATATCCTATGCAGCTGATCAAATCTTGTAAGACTCCCCTATACAGAAATGCCATTTAGTTGGCTTAGACTAAACACCTAAAGTGTTTAAGGTGAACATAAATCACCCACTGGTAGAGGTAACTGTTGATCAGCATAGAGAAAACTCATTAATTTTCACATCACTGATCTGTGTCAATCTGTGTCACATTGCTTTCTGGAAGATCAAGGCAGTAGGGAGCTTCATAGTACTAATTCTTCATCATTTAAATCATAGATGTGAACATAATGAAAACTATTATCTTTAACACTTAAAATTAGAAAACAGAAGTAGGACTGAAACCAGTGCATTTTTTGTGCCATTTCCCTGATTTGTTCTCACCTCGTGTCTGTATCTGGTTTCAAACTAGTTCTACATATTTATTACACTCAAGCTTAAAGTTTTTCTTTTTAAATTAGTCATCCTTTCATTTATAGTTGGGCTCCTCTTCCATCCCATAATGCTCATATGGAATTACACCAGTGTGAAATTTGAGCTAAACAGCAGTCTTAGAGATGCTTTAGCTCCTTTACAAGAGTGCGGTGTATGGAAAGGTTATACTGGAACTGTGCACGTGTGGTAATCTGTAGAAGAACTATATCTCACCAGAAGAAACTCAAACTCTTATTGCTGCATTGTACACCACAGCTAAATAGCTAAATAGGTCATTCATTCTCAGCTCTCCTTCATCATCCTTCACTGCTCATCATGTGAAGGATGAACATCACTTCACATGATCCTTCATCAGTCTTTCATCATCCTTCCTGTTTAAAACTTTCCTGTGAGTGAAGCCTGTTTTCATATACTTAGATAAATAAAAAATTAATTCTTACTGGCTATTTGTTAAAATACTGAGGGAAAGATACATGGTTTCAGTAATTCTCTTCTTGAATTTTAAGTCTTCTAGTGCTAATTCTGATGATATTCAAGGGGAGGTTTTTTTTTTTTCTGACAGAGACAATTTATAATGGATAATTTACATAATTACATGATAGATCAGGGTATGCTTTTATTGTGTTAAGCAAAACTGTATCAGCTACAATATAAGGGAAGAAGAGTGGTTGTGCTACCTAACTAGATTCATTTAACATGCATTTTAATAAAAGTAAGTTGTGTTTACTCTTTTTCATGTGTGGAAACCACATTAACCCTAAAGATAAAGCACTGATAGTAAATTGCTGCCAGGAAATCTTTGTAGCAATTCAGACCACTAGGTCTGCCAGGTGATAGGTGATAACAAACCTTCTTTCTGTGTCATTTGCTAACACTGCAAAGTAAAAAACAAAAACAAAAACAAAAACAAAAAACCGCACCCACTTTTATACCCAACAAACAAAGTAAAAAAAAAGTAAAGCCCATTCAAATAGAATAAAATTTCAGCGGAATTTTATATATGGCTTTTGACATTTTTCTGGCTGGTAATAGTTCTATTCTAAGAGAGGGAAATCTTCCTTGAAGATAGGGAGAAAAGGAAGAGACTAACAAATTCACTGGACATATTGTTGCAAAATTTTTTTGTTGTGGAGAAATATATATAATATATATGTTTTAACATTTTAAAATACAGATGGATTCAAGAAGTCTACTCTGGACCTGAAGGTGAAGATGCATCATTGAGTTTGTTTGTTTATGGAATGAAACATGAAGCCTTAGAGAGCCTTATGCTGAAACTGTCAGTGTACCATGAATCACTGGTGCATAGGATAATGCATTATTTTTATATGCTTCTCCCTGAATAAAAATGACAATAAATAAGGAGAACAACTTAGCAAAATATGGAAGATAAAAGCCAAAGCTGAAACTTTTCACTACAATTCTGGAGGTCAGCAGCTTTTCAAAATATTCAGATTGAAAGACATTAACAAAAGCACAGTCTTATGGTAGTAGATTGTTTGAATATTTTGGTCAGAATTCCTTTGGATTGACACAGTCTTTCAATTATGTGCTCAATTATTCAATCATAATGCATGAAGAATGCTGTTTCTCAGTCACAAAGCAGCTCAGTGATTTTTAATCCATGTAAACCAGGCTGCTGAAGAGGAGCAATGAGCTAGACTGCTAGCATGCACAACTGGGTAACATATTTTTCTACTGGAGGATTCTTCTATGAAATGGTAACAATGAAGCTATTGCAGAAAATAGAAATATCATATTGCATTTTTCACTCTCCCATGGGATTTAGTCCATTGCTGTTTCTGTGATGGTCTCTATTTCAACTGTGTAAGTGATAGTCTTGTCATATTTATACTTCCCCTGTTGTACCTTTGGTGTAATCTTACAAGTGAGTAACTCAGTATATCAAGTCCATTTGAGGTAACCTCTGAGCTTTCTAATTGTACAGTGTTCCATTGTTGGTACTCAATGCCTCGCTTGGTAGTTTTCCTCCACGGATTTGAAATACACAATGCAGAAATTACATGTTATTTCTAAATATATCTTCTATTTAGCTGTAATCTTCTGAGTTAATATGATTATTATTATTCTTGTGAGTGAAAACAAAATGCTCCCCTAATCCTCATAAACTAAGAAACAATGTTTTTTTCACGGTGTGTTTTTAACCTAATAGCAATGTGCTGTAGGTGGCACAACTTTTAGAGCATTTTGTGTAATTCAGGTAGTGCCTCTGTGACCTGTTGAGTGGCAGTTTCACTGCAGAAAATGCCTTTAGCTCTTTTTGATTTTCTTTTAAGAACAGCTCCCTTTTACAATACTAACATGTTTACAAGGCCACGGCTCTTTACCTTTAAGTTGCGGTAAATTGAGATACTCACAGATGAACATAAGGAAAATATTAATTAATGTCAAAATTAGGTGTGAGAAACTCCAGCCTCTCAGATTTCTGTCTGATCCATGACAGCAGGTGTCCCTTTGGAGCACCACAATTCTGTCAAGGACTTGATAACAGATGCCAGGAGTTTGTTGTTTTTCAGAAGAGCATTATGGAACAAGTGTGAGAAACTGAAATGTTATGGTTAATGGCTTAAACACTGCTATGAAGAACTTTTGACTATTATGGAAAAAATATATAAAGAAGCTGTGATCACCTAAGCCCACACTTACCTGAATATACACCCTGACCAGAACTTTGGACTGTGAGTTAATCTGCCTAAGGGGTTTTGAGATAAGATAAAGCTGATGTTAAATCCCATTTTCTCTGGTCTAGGGAGAAGTAAACAGGCTGAGGGAGAGGAATGTATCCACAAGGAAAGCCAAACCCAGCAGCTGTCCTGAAAATCATCTCTGGCAGTGTTCAGGCTGGGGAAGGCCACAGCCCACAGGCTCATCTGTTGAGGCCAGGTTTGTACACACTGCTCCCCAACCAAGGAGAGAGTTTTGGGTGTGTGGCATAACCTCCAGTCCCAGGCAGTGACCACCCGCCCTCCCTTGCACAAACTGCCTCAGGTGTAAACCCCCCACCCCAGGAAGGCCACATCCATGGGACAGACACGTGTTAGGCAGCTGAGGAGGTGTCACAAAAAATCAGAGACCCTCAAACCACCCCGAGACTGATTCCTCACACCTTCCACCTGGCTGAGGATGGCTGCACATGATGCAAAGTCATGCAACAGATCCAGAGTCTGTTGAAAGTGACTGTGTCAAACTTGCCCTCCCAGGGGAAGTACCTGGGCATTCCCATGTGTCCAAACATATATTAACCCATTAGACTTTATGCTTTGCAGGACTCTCACCACCAAGAAGACCAGAAGAACAGGACAACAAACAGGATGCCACGGGGATCCATGCAGTGGCGATATTTTCTACTTAATCTGTTACTCTGTTACTCTCTTTCTCTTGGTCACACCCCATTTTTCTCTATTTTTTTCTCTCTATCATCTCACATTTACTGTTAAATAAAAGCCATACTATTGCCATTGACAAATGGTCTCCTTTGCACCTTAATTTGGGCAGAAGTATTTCTCTAATAATTTTAATAACTAGATCATAAGTCTCTTTTTTTTTAAGAAATCTATGCAGCAGTGGGGGAAGGTGTTGGAAAACTCTTTTGATTTCAGTGCAATGGTGTTTGATCTCTATATCTGATGAATATTCAGAATATTCTTGTGCCAGGAATTGCTTCCTTATTTACCTACATCAGTGATTAATATGCCCTAACAGATATTTTAGTTTTGAGAACAAGCATTGAGAAGGGAAGTATATTATGACCTGATCACATCTTTGAGACATTCTCAAGGAGAAGAGATTCATTAGAAAATCCAAAACCACATCCAAATAAGTCCATGGAAATAATTAGCATAAATGCATGTATTCAGGAAATGTAATAAATATGTAATACAAATGTTATGCATATGTATTATTTTTAGAGAATACAACTTGTTCTGTTAGGTTGATGAGTATGCATTGCTTTATGAGCAATCCCCATGCTTCCAGCACTGTTAATAACACAATGTTAGCTTTCTAACATAGCAAACTGGTTGGAGATTTATTTTGTATTTTTTCAGTGACAAGAGGAGAAAGGAGACATTGAAATGTGTGAGATATTTGAGAACTAAATATTAGGCTGACAAGTGTGTTACAGGGCAGTGAAGCAGTGCTCAGTGTTATTGCAGTGGCTGTATGGACTGCCTTCATGATCATTGGGTGAATTGCTTTTCTAGCAGTTGCTGTCAGTGGACATCAAAGAGTTTGGGACAAATGGCATTTTCAGAAGAGACAGGTAATTGAATAGGCTTAGCAGTGTGATAGGATTGGAAAGTTCCTAAAAATACATGTCCTATTATATTCACATTGTAAATTTTAATAAGATCTCTCCTTGCAGCTGGGAACAGGAGTAAGATTAAAACAAAGATTTTTCTTAGGTAGTCTGTATGCATTAAATATTTAGCTCATGCTCACTTGATTTAACTGAGCATTAAAAAATAAGTCTTTTGATAATGAGAGCAAGATATTGCTACTCACAGTGAGTAGACAAGAAAGGATCTGCAGATGAACATTGCTGTTTGTTCATCTGTTATGTAACTAAGAATATTTCTGAAACTTTGAAAAGGAGATGGCCTACAAGGCTTCAAAAATAATGCATGCAGGAATTGAAAATCTCCATTAACACAATGGTGGGTATTTGGATCATCATAACAATCATTGTGACTATAGCAATGAAACTGGTTGTTATTATAACACATTTTTAGTTTCAAGCCTTTGTAATTTTTGCAATTATGTTGAAAGCTCAAGACAGCCTAACCCAACATGAGAAAGATTTCAAATCTGTGTTTAGCCTTTCAAGGTTGTGTTTGAGCGATTTACTAGAATGTTTAACTTTCAAAGAGAGTGCCCATTAAGAGCATTAGTAGGGGAGTGCATTGATTTATCAGCTCAAATCCTAGGCTTAAATAAACTCAGGGAAAAAAGAAGTTAAATAATTCAAATAGCAATCAAAATGTGAAAAACCTACACTTTAATACTTTTAAAGTGTAAATCACCACTTTTCATATCTGATCACTTTTGTCAATTTAAGAGAACTTAAACATCACTCACTTTGGAGTTGATATCCACAGGATCAATTCATCAGCAGATTAAGAACAGCAACCAGGAGCATGCTTTGGTGATAGCTTTCAAATGAAATTATTGCTCAAATAGACATGGGAAGCAAAATAAGACCTCTTAAAGCTGGCAGATGAATAGGCAAGTTCACAGTTATTAAGTAGATTAATCAACTTTCTTAGTAAAACTGTAGTTTATAAAAAATTAACTTCTGAAAGAAGGTAATTTAAAAGAAATTTCACATATTTTAGTATTGCTTGTAAAGTGATGGGACAGACTTTTGTTTTTTCCAGCATGAGAAGTTTGATCTAAACACATCCAAAGGAAGCCTGCAGTCTTAATTTCCACCTCCATATTGATTGATGTAATTTCCTCCCCTTTATTCCATATAATAAGTTGGGATTTGTGTTGTTTACATTCCCCAATTTGTGATAAAACTTATTCTTTCACACTTTAACATCTATCATTTAATTTTTGCTGATACATATTTCAATCTCTCCCTTAGCCTAAATCTCATTATATTCCTCTTTTCAGGGTGTGGATGGTCCTACTTCTGGATGGTCGTACTTGTCCCCTTACCAGCCATGAAAGACTTTACATTGAAAGGCACCTTACCCTGTCCTTGTGACCACATCCCTCTCCTCCCTCTCCACATTCCTGCAGGGCTTCACCATCTGTGGTTCCACCAAATTGAGTGCAGCTGCACTCTGCTATTCTGTTTCAATGACATTACCTGCCTTCACTTCATCACCTGTATTTCCCCCTAACTGGTTTAGTTTTTTTTTAATTATTATTATTCTCAAAACTCCTGTGAAATACTTCTTCTCATCTTCTGTCTGTAATTAGAATAAAGATTTACTAGCCAGGAACTGTTTCTAATAACATGCATGCACAGTGCCCAATTCAATAAAGTTCTTATTGCTGCGAGAGCCTCTCTGCTTTATGCATATGAACTTGAATGACCCATTTTGTAAAGGCACACCAGATTACAGAGAAAAACCACATAAAAATATGGAGTGGCCAGCACCTGTTCTATCATCCAGTACAAATAACCAGGTAAGCTCTCATGGCTGAGCTTCCTGCTGGTGGTACTTGGCAGGTCACCAGAACAAGCCTTGACCTCACTGCTGGATCTACTGCAGTTTCTTATCAGCTCAGCTGACACCACAACCCATAAAGATGCTGTAAAACAAGTAAAACATAACATATCCAATAATTAATTCTCCCTGGACTGGAACTATATTGTTTGGATAAGGATAATTCCTGAAATGATACTGTAGTATAAGTTGAATTTCATGCCACTTGCTGTCTGATGCAGAAAGGAGGCATCTACAGACAAGGTCTTTCTATAAGCTTGGGTCTCTGTCACTATGAAGACATCCCTTCTCCTTAAGTCTAATTGGGGGAAGGAAAAGGACCTGAATGTTCCTGCTGCTTTAGGAATGAAAGAAAACACAAAAAGAGATCTTTTTGATGCTTTTTGACCCTACTTTGCAGCTGAGCTTTTTTGCATTTGAACTTGAGATTTGCTTTTCCCTACTGGGTGCCGCAACACCTCTTCCACAGATGCACTTGAAGAGAAAAACAAAAAAAAAATATCCCTATATCTGAATACTTATCTTAAGCAAAAATTCTCAAGGTGCTGCTAGGGAACTGGATATTAAAATAGGTATCTCAGGCTATTTCTGCTTAGAGATGGTATTCACAGGTCCTTGCAACCATTTCCCCTCCACTCACTTGTGTTTAAGAGATCTCCTTAATTCTTTTGAGTTTAATGCATTTTAAAATCTTCTTGGTAAAACAAAGCTAAAAATGGAATTTGCTAGCTAATAGAAGTCCCTTAACTATTATTAGTATCTTGGCAGTCTCTCTAGGTTGTGAATCTGTTGGGACTAATTTACTGAAACCCTATTATTGAGCTATTAATCATATCAGACTTTCAGCCATGTCTGTCAAGTGCTCAAAATAAGTGTAACATTATTCTTTTTCACACACAATGTCTCCAACTTTCCAACTGTCAGATAAGAAAGAAAAAAATGATGTGGCACTCCTTTGGAATTCAAATGTAATACCATATTCATTCCCAATCTAGTACATTTAAGACATTGTGAACCTAATTCTCTGTGGGAGTATATTAGTGCAGCTTCACTTATCCCAACGGCAGGCTCTGCTGATTGACATCAGCTGAGAAACTCTGCAAGGTACACACGAGTAACAAGCACAAGCCTTGAGAAAAGTAGGACCCTTTCACCTCTTTGCCTTCATTTGTGAGCTCCAGGTTAGGGGTGTTAGGGGTGCTTGCTACTCTAACACTGACTCTTTTTTCAATGAGATTTTTAACACCTTTCCTAGCCTAGGAGATTCTCTCTTTTCTTCTAAGGTGGAGGAAAATTGTTCAGAAAACCCTTCAGAACAGGAAAATTTCAGCTCAAGTCTGCAAATGGTAGGGATACGTTCAATGTTTATTACATCCAGAATTAAGTTAGTTATCCTCAAAGTTAGGAACATGTTAATTGGCAAATAGTAATATCGTTTTCACTATCAAAAGATTTTCCTCTCTTTGACTTTTTCATTACTGATGTTATCTGTCCCACAAAATTTTTTTGCTTTTGTCATTTACACAAACTCTATGACAAAGAACTACAACCCTTTCAACAAACAACAAAATTACTTCACCTCCAACCTACTAGTTTTATTTCCCCATAGCTCACAGTCATCTTTATTTCGTGTGGTTTCTTTTTCTACTTCAGTCCACCCATATTCAACACAGCACTGGGTAACACACTGTCCTCATGATATCTAATCCCTTAGGCTGATCTGTCTGTTCATTTTGTGTATGAGGGTGCAAAAGACTGGAGTAGAATCTCCAGGCTTGCATGCTGTTGGTGCTGTCTGTGCAAGCTCGTTATTATGTGGTACTTTCCTGGCCTCACTCATTAAATACTCAGGAGCTAGCACAGAGCAATGCCTCAGAACTTTTACTACTCATTGAAGTGAAATCAAAGACTCTCCTATTCTTTTTGGAAAAACTTGCCTCTTCCTCTATTACCTTTTATTTACCACAAGGCAGAAGATAGGTTTGTACATTTTAGTTCTTCAGACTTTATCTCAACTCAGATTATTACATGCCAAGATTTTTTTATAACATGAGGCAGCTCTACTTCTACTCTGTTAAAACTCATTTTTCTCATAAGTTATACAAAAGATAAGATTTTTTAAATGTTTATGCTAGCAGAAGCAGCCATTTTTAGTCCTGAAGTTACCTGGTGCCTTAGGTTGTGTCTGAACTGACCCCATCTTTCTAAGCCAAATACAACCTCAGTAGCAGCTACCTAGTTGTGATACACACTTTGATAGATCTTTCTGGCTGGCAGACAGCTCCTGTCTGGGTCATCCGTACCCATCATCAAATGTACATCACATGCTACCACTGTCCATGATTATATGGCAAGAGAGCATTCCTTTGTTATGCTTTCCCTGGCAATTCAGGGCTACAAATCACATTTGTATGGTGATGCTCACTGGAATGTTTCTGTATCGGTGAAGATACACGCAGCTGTGCCTACACATTACCTGCTGGTGAAGAACTCTGCACGACTCTGCAGGTGCAAATATAGAGTAAATAACACATTAGTGTAAACCCACTTGGCTCGTCCTTTCTGCCGACAGGAAGAGGGAAGAGAGTTTATATTAATACACATAAACTTCCAGCAAGTTTATGTGTATTAATATACATGCAATCATACACACAATGCATCATACACACAAGTCTCAACTCTACAGGCTGGACTTCCACTGCTATAAACACCATTACACACTGCAGTTTTCTCATTCAGATCCTACTATCCCTTCTCCAATAGTCAACCACTGCTTTCTTTTCTCTCCCTCTTTTCATTCAACCAATGGTTTTTTCACTTTTTTTCAGCCTCCTGGTTCGCTCCATCTTGTGCTAAGTCCTGTGATACAGGGACTCTCATTTTCTGGGGTCAGATTCATCCTGGAGAATTGCTTTTTTTAGCCTAAAAATAGTGTTAATCTTCTGTGTTACAGCTTTCTCCCCTTTTATTCCTCCCCCTTCTCTCCTCTTTAATAAGCACTTACCATCTCCTTCTGGGAAGTATTTTGTGTTGTCAAGAAAGACTTCCTTGTCTGACTACAGCATTCTGCTCTTCTTCTTCCTCAGGGAATTGACCATGCGGCCATTACAAAAAACTTCAACAAGGTGAAGGTGCTCTTTTTTTTTTTTTTTTTTTTTTTTTTTTCCTTTTTGCAGAAACAATACAAAAATCCATGAATTAAGAAAATACAGATGCTTCTGGCACATCACACACCCTTGGAAAATTCACAGTAACAAGATCCTGCTAATATAGATCGGCCAGGTGTGTAGGTGTATGAGCAAGTCCTGCTGTGCCAGTCAACTGCTTGTTGCTTTCAGTCTGCGGAATTGGGACTTAAACACAAGACATTCTGTGCTGCTGGCCCCTGGCCTCATACCTTTCTGAAGATACAGATGCTTTGTTCTTCAGTTGCACAAAAGTGTGAGCCAACACACATTAATTCGGGACAACTGGGAGGTTTGGGCTCGAGCATGAACTTGAAAGCAAGGTAACATGACAGCAGAAGACACCCAAGGAGGGAAATTTCTTACATGACGTATGTGCTGCCATTCTCTTCAGTTAATCTTGATGGGAGTGATAGTGTAACTAATTCAACTGTGAAAATGGTAAGACTTCACAACTTTTGTATGCCTTCCCAAATACTGGAAAATAGATGAAAAGTCAAGCCAATACAAATGAATTATAGGATAGGTGAGCATGATATTCCTGTTCAATCAGAAAATTGCATACCTGTCAAATGTTGTGACATGACAACCCTCATTTGTATATAACAGTAAAATCATCTTTTAAGCAATGAACTTCTGAAATTTTGGAAATGAAAAATATTGAACATATGAACAAAAAATGAAAAAAAACCCTTTTCAATATTTTGACTGGTCATCTTCACCTTTATTAAGTTTATATTGAATATAGAATTTTGGCTTAGAACGCTTCCTGTGTTAAAATTCTGTTATTGAGAAACTGCACAGTAGCCTTTAGCATCAATGAATAAAATTTTTGTATCTTATAAGAAAAGGGCAGCTTGACTGATAAGAGAGAAAAAATATTATTTATTCTATGTTAAAATTTATAAAATGTTGGTTATTTAATTTTTTTGTTTTTCACTTCTACAACTTAGTGTATGTAATATATAACTGTATAATGTCTACAAATGAATTGGTGGTTTGTTAGTAATCCTCAACAGATACAATATACATGCAGTGCTTCTGGAGGAAAGATGTCCACTGAAACCATCCCATTAAAATTTTTCTCTTACATTTGTCTAATTTTTATTAAACAAATAAAAAGACCTCTGTCATTCTCAATGCTCCTAGCTTTTATCTAAATAGCTAAGTACATTGTTCATATTTTCTGTTTCCTTTGTACCTGGTAATCTGATTTTTAAAAATACAGCATATTTTAATTAAAGAAATGTGTGCATACATGCAAGAGAAGATAATAATAACTGCATTACAGTAGAAACTTGTTAATTTGCATTAATGATAGGGAGAGCTATGGTGAATTACAGAATTTTGCAAATTAACATCAAAGTGAATAAATAATGAAAACCAGAGGGTAGTCAATCCACAAAAGTTTCATTAATTCCTTTTACGGGTTGTTATTTGGCTATAATTATCTGCATTTTTTGTTTTTCTTTTATTAAGAGCTAGTGGAGTATCTGAAGTGTTATTATGCTAAAAATTATTTCTGCTCCACAATGTTTGCAGTCAAGAGGACACCTGCAGAAAAACAAGTGACCATTCTAGAAAATACACAGGTGAGCCTGACCTGTTATTCTTCCTCATCATCATCCGTATCCATTGCTGAGATCTTCCAGCATCCAGCAATGAGCATGATAGTGTTCACATGCATACTGGAACACAACCTACAGAAAGAAAGACTTTAAAGTAGACACTGGAAGAAATTGAAGGCTGTTTTGGACTGTTCATACATAAGTGAAATGCAGATTAGTGAGGTTTTTTTATGTATGATGCAATTAAAATGAAACTTATCACAGTATAGTTTCCTTTAAATTTAAAATAATTCAAAGGTGAATATGAATGTACCTTTTAGATTTTTGCAAATAGGTCCTGATACCTTAAAACTATTGAGGATTTTGTTTTAACTACCAAAGGACATATTTCATGCTAGTTTTTTACAGAATCATAGAATGGGTAAGGCCACCCAGTCCGACCTCCCTGCTCAAGCAGAATCATCCTAGAGCACATTGCTCAGGATTGTGTCCGTATGGCACGTAATAGGTTAAACAATACTGGGCTCAATACTGAACCTTGGGGAACACCACTAGTTACAGGTCTTCAACTTGTACCACTGATAACAACCCTCTGAACTCTGCCAGTTCTCAATCCACCTCACTATCCACTCATTCAGCTCACTCTCCCTGAGCTCACCTATGAGGATCTCATGGAAAACCTTGTTGAAATCCTTTCTGAAATCCAGGTAGGCAACACCCACTGCTCTCCCCCCAAGTCTCCAGCCAGTTGTCCCATCATGAAAAGTAATCAGGCTGGTTAAGCATGACTTCCCTTCGGTGAATGCATACTGACTACTGATCACCATCTTGTCTTCTACATGATTAAAATGATCTCCAGAACATTCTCTTCCAGGTGAGGCTGACTGGCCTGTTCCTCCTTCTCTCCCTTTTTGAATACTGGGGTGACATTTACTTTCTTCCAGCCCCCTGGCCTCTCTCCTGACTGCCATGATCTTACAAAGATGAGAGTGCCATAACAATGGTGTGTGCCAGTTCCCTTGGCACTCTTTGGCAAATCCCACCAGAGCCCATGGACTTCTGGATGTCAAATTTGACCAAATGGTCTGTAGCCTGAACCTCCTCAAACAATGGAAAGTCATCCTTCCTCCAGACCTCTGTGGTCTTTTGGGTCAGGGACTCCTGAGGGCTGGCATTGTCAATGAAGACTGAAAGAAAGAAGGTGTTCAGCTTTCTTTGAAAGTTCTGCTGCAGTTTCCTGTTCCATTCAATGGTGGGTCCACATTTTCCTTAGTATTACTTTTGTTATTAATTTAAATTACATTGAAATTGATTTATATTAAAATTAATTGGAAAAGTTCTTCTTGTTGTCCATGACATCCTTAGTCATATTTAGTTCCAAATGGGCCTCGGCCTTTCTCATTTCATTTCTGTATACTCTGATAACTTCCCTATATTCATCCGAAGTATCACGTCCCCTACACCTCATGTATCTCCTGCTAATGTGTGAGTTTTCATAGGAGTTTCTTGTTCATCCGTGCAGGTCTCTTGCCTTTTTTGCTAAATTTCTCATTCATTCTCTAAGGCATATTCCCATATGATTATTCCAAGAAGATTCCTGAAGAGGGCAAAGTTGTTCTGAAGCTCAGGTGTGTAAGCTTTTCATTGCTCGGCTTCTTGCAGGTACCAAACTCCTTGATCTTGTGGTTGTTGTAGTCAAGGCTTCCCCCAATGCTCACATCACATCTCCAGACTTTCTCTGTTTGTCACCATAAGGTCCAGCAGCACACATCTTTCTGCACTGGCTCCTCTATTACCTGTTATTGTCTTTTAAAGTACAAGAATTGTGGAGAGAAAAAAGTATTAGGATTTATTTTGTTTTTACCAGAATGTAAAAATTTGGGCAGTAATGCTACAACAAATTCCATCTTATACTGCTTCAGTTACATTAGCAGTACACATTCAGTCCACTTGATATTGTCTGCCCCAGAAATGATTGGGGCACTGTCGTCTGTGTGATGTGTCTAAACTAGAAGTGATTGTGGCTTTTTTCACTTTTGGTGTAAATTTTGACCCAGAAACTGTGCTGGGGCAGGCACAGCAGGTCACAGAAGTACAGATGGTGTTGGCCACACTGTCATGCAAATGGCTTTTTAAGCTGCCTTACCTTGCTTTCAGCTTGCCAAATGCTCAGGCTACCTCCAACCTCCGACTGCCAACGGTTTTAGCTGATCTTCTGCCTGACCGTGGATTGTCAGGACAGAACCTAATTGAAAAAGAAGCATGGAGAATGTGAGGAAGGCACAGACATCTCTTACCCGTGGACCCGTGTTCTGCTGAATTATCTGGTTCTGGGTTTGTTCCCAGGCAATCCCAGGTCAAGTACTTTGCATACATGTTAGATAAGACCTAGGCTCTCCTGAGCAAGATATGTCCTTCTGAGAAAAAAAAAAAAAAATCATGGAATATTTCAAGGCATAGTTGGCTTGGGATTTCTGTTCTGACGGACAAGAGCACTGGTAACACTGTTTCTATAGAAACATCTTACCTAGTTACTGCACAGCTACAAAGGATTGCTTACCTCTGTAATTGATGTTGGGCTTTTTTGTGGGTTGTTCCAGAAAAAACATGGACCATGCTCATGATAAATGTCCTCAAGGTGTTCACACCTGTGTTATCTAAATGCTAGCTCCTATTTCAGCCAACTTGATCACATTTGAATAAACTGCAGCGGTCACGGTAGTATAAACTTTTGCTACAGTGCTGTTGGGTCCTTCACTGATTGGCATCACACTGGTTACTTCATGCAGCTAGGAAAATCCACTCTGATAACTTTAAAGTGATGATTATAACACATTTTATTTGGATTTGGACACGTCTGTCCTAACCTGGGAGGCAGATGAACTTTTCCAGCAACTCTGTGACCACGTCCTCCCAGAGGTAAAGGTTCAGTTGATACAATTTTTCTTGGTTTGTTTGGATGGCAGTGTGTTTCTTCTTAATTGCCATAAATGGTGTGCACCAGGACTGCCAGCTGATGAATGGTAAATCTGTGAGACTGTGTGCTCCTGCAGCTTCTGCTCTGCCTTCCGCTACACAGGATGGTTCCACCCTGATCACCCTGATGCATGAATTCATACAAGCAAGGGAACACTGTGGAGTTGGAAAAGAGATTATTAAAAAAAAAAAAAACAAAACAAACAACAGTTTCACATCTAAGTAACTGCAATATTAATTCATTTCTGACAGTATGGGCAGATAATATATCTGACTTTGCAGTATGCTGGAACATTCTGGATTATTTGTCCAAGTCTACAGCAGCTGTTGAGAAAATGTGCCTGTGAAGGAACAGTACCTGCACTAATATTTGATTTATCTGAAAATGGATCACTTGAACAGCACAGATCATGAAAATGAGATAGCACAGAACTAAGTGCTTGGGAAGATGGGAAATAGGTGCAGTGCAGGAACAGATATTATGTATACAGGGGGCTATTCAGAGTCCAGGTGTAGAAGAATGAAGGCAAAGTATGATGGGATTTATTATAGTTGGATTTGGTTCAAGGACAATTCTCTGGTAAGATGTTAATTTTACAGAACATTTCATGAGTCTCAGTCTCCTGTTAAACAAAATAGCAGTTAGAAAATAGAGCAGATGCAGTAAACCATTAAAAATGGAGGCTCATTTGATATGGATTTTTCTTGTTACTTTAGTGTCCCACTTAATAAAAAACCTAATGTGGAAAACACTATAACTATGTCACTCATCATAAAACTGCTTTAAACAATGAGAATGTAGAGACATAGCAGGATGAGTGTAGGCGCTAAAATAACATACACAGTAATTCTGCTCTCTCACCCAAGAGCTGAAGAAAATGAAGTGATAGTAAGACTACAATGGCTGCAATCACTTTTATTTTATTCATGCTCCACTGAAGTTTGATGCACATGCTCCTGCCCGTACTACACATTTGTGTTAGATAACTGGCAGTATTTTAGTAATGGGAATAGATACGTGTGAATGCAGGATTAAAACTTCCTTTCTTCTCTCAATGCTATTTATATTTCAAAGCTTCTCGTGTCTACTCATGCCATAGCAAAATGTAGCTCGCATTTTAGTAATCGTGTTTTTCATAGTCATCCTACTTGTTTTCTCAGTGTACTTCCATAAGTTTTTGTCTTTGATATTTTGTATCAATGTGTTTATCACAACACTTAATCTCAGTTCTTTTCAGTTGAATATCTGACATGGAGCTGTTGCCTCTCTTCACATCTTTTCACTTCATTCTTCCCTTTCTATTATTTGTTTATTTACCTTATTCTTCTTTCCAGTTTTTTTTTCAGTCCCCTTTCCTTTTCTTCCTTCCTCTCAGCTCATTGTCTATACTTCTCCTTTTTCCTGCTGAACACTCTTTTTCTCTCTTGACTTCTCTCCTTTCTTTTCCTGTTAGCTGCTCAGCCAGACATTTCTCATTTGTGTTTTCTTTTCTTCCCACTCCACAATTTTTTGATTTTGTACCTATAGAAATATTCTCAAGTGTACCAAGATGGAGGGGAACTCATAAAAGTTCCCCTCTGTCTTGGTACAGGAAAGCATGTCCCCAGGACATGTCCTCCGTCCCCAGGAAAGTATGGCAGTTTACAGGCAAAGATGGTCCATTTGGTGGCTAAATGACATTGTCTAACATATCATTGAAATCACTGTAGCTTCCTTTCTGGGAATAAGGTCTGGGTCTAACATTAGCCCAGCTGGTGGGACCATGGTGCTGATGACACCTGGGTTGTGGGTTTGACACCCTTATTGACCATTCACTTTAGAGCTGGACTTGATTCTTGTGGAACTCTTCCAACTCAGAATATACCGTGAAATCTGTGTGGTGAGGTGGATGGCTTTATCTGCGATGAGGGGCACAAGGTTACTCTTTCTGTAAGCTCCATGAGAAAGTGGATACATTTGATTTTTTTTTCTTCTTAAACTGACCACAATACCTCTGAATTTTCTTCTTAGATGCTTTCCTTCCAGCAGTTCAGTGTTGTGAACAAATGCAATATCTGTCCGTGTTTTGTCAATGTGTCATTCTGGAAACTGGTGGATAGAAATGGTCTGGTATGTGGTATCATGCTCATTGTTTTATTAATAAACTTTTCTGAAAGATTTTCATAGAGCTGGCATGTAGTACCTACTATATAATAATGATGTCATACAGCATGGCATTTCAGGAGCTGGTAAAACAGCTAAGTATGGCCCAATTAGTGCAGTAACTGTGTAGCAGCAGAATCAATGTAGAAATCTCTGATGGAATTCCTGTAAGGGTAAGAAAGGGCAAGTAAGCAGGCATAACATATTGCTATTAATCAGTAAACATTATGATGCTGGTATAACATAACCTCAAGTAGCCCTAGTACAACATATGCTGCATTAGTAGCATATGTCACAAATTTTGAGGTCTTATATAACATGCACTATCTGTACAAAAAAATTAATAAATCACTTCTATGTGAAAAATATATCCATAGTTTAGCATTTTCTCTGTTCTTGTTAGGAAACTTTAAATACTAGTATTGTATTTTACTGGGTTGACAGTCAACAGTGCTGCCCAAAAACGCAGTATAAGGTTGAAAACAGATCCCATATCACATTGTGGAGGAAATACTTTCCTGCATGTATTAGTCTTACATTGTAGAGTAGTGTATTTGGGTGGCAGCAAGAGACACTACAGACAGTGAGTAAATGGAGGCTGCAATGATGGTGAGAATATCTAATACATTCTCTTCACACTAGATGCTAAAATTTTACTTCTCTGCAAAAATACTGTTATTAACATTGTGCCTGAAAGGAGTGCGCTTAGCTTATAAAAATGAAATCTGGATAATGCCTTTCAAGTCAGCTTTCCTTTACTGTAGAACTTATTCACTGTCTAAGAAAAAAAATGAATGAGATGGTGTCAGTGTTTACATTGTGACTGTTTAGTTGTTTGTAGTTATAAACTTAATTGTTTTTGTTTTGGGTTGATTTTCATATTAAGATCCTGATGATGTAATTAGCTATAGATATTTAAGGTGCTCATATTCTTTGTGATTTTTTTTTTAAATTATGGTCTTACAAAAGTCTGATAGGACTATAGCATATGAAAACTGTATCTCGGAGAAATAAAAATCCGCTGGATCTTATTAGATAAAACTGGTATGGGGACATTACTTCTTTATATACAACATTACTGATATATGTACTGGAATGTATGTATTCAAGGAAAATATTTAGATTTTGCAAATATGTTTGGAAAAAAATAGAAGGAGAATTAAAAGCATGAAATTAGCTGGGAAGCCTCCTGCCCCTTCCATTCTGTAGTGAATGTTAGAGAGTTTAGAAGCTTAATTTATTCACTAAAATGAAGGTGATAAGCACATGAGCTTGCTTTTTAATTTCTTCCCAAAAAGACAATAAATTTTACTTTGTCTGACTCTAGGATAAAACTGTCAAGATGAATAGTTACCATGCAAAAATATGTCTGTCCATAGCCTGAGCAAAACATCAAAAAGAATCTGATCATAATTTATAAACTTGCTCGTGGCCAGTAAATTTCTGACAACAGAGAACTTTTGAATCTAGTTTAAGAATGCAAAATGTAGATTTTTCTCCAGGTGAAAGAAATCCAGACAAAAAGTTAGTTTTAAAAGTTAAAATAATTTAATCCTGTTCTCTTGCTAGGGCACAAAAATCACTTCTAGCTGACTTTACTTTACTAGCACACATTGCAGTTATGTTTACCAATAGTTCTGTCTGCTGAGATTTATTCATTCCCCTGGAGGTAGGTTTGAATAAGTAAGTGGTGGATATCACTATGCTTATAGTAACGCATGGGTACTCTGAAGAATATAAGGTCGTATGAGAGAGACCTTCAATTCTCTAGTAAAATCATTTAAACTGGGAATGAAAGCAGAGGCTCAGTTGTAGCAGACAGAAGAGTTCAGCCATAGATGCCTGGACCTGACCAAGGGCTCCATTCTCCTTTGGGATCTCCAATGGAGAACTGAACACCCCGTATGGGCAACAGACCAGCTGCAGAAAACTGCTTCTGACAATCTGGGATGCTCACTGGATGAGCAGCAGAGCAGTGGATATTATACTGAACTGAAGAGAGACTTTGAGCCATTTTCTGACTAGACAGCTCTTATTTGGAATTTCTTCAGAACATTGCTATTCATATCAAGATGTGTTTTCTCCTTTTTAATTTTTAAAATTTTTTCTTTTATTTAGGCAAAAATATATTTGATATTTATAGGACAGTGAATGATTTGACACAGACTTCCTAAATGCTTCTGGAGAAGAAAGAAGTTTTAGGAAGTATGATAATGTGTTAATGTTCTGAGCCACAGCTATACTTATTTGTAAAAATTGGACTCTTTAACCAAAGAATTGCATAAAAATAATTGTCCTAATTCTTCCTGCTACCATTATTAATCACATATTACTGAAAAGATAAAATATGGCTTTGGAACAATGTGATTAATTTTTAAAATAAGGCTATACAAAATCAATGGGGTATGTACTAAATGAACTAAAGACAGGCTAAGTTACGTGGGTCCAAGACTATGGCCAAAGGAAAACCTTCTCAACCAAATGAAAATTTTCTTCCTTATGGGTTAATGCAGGTTATTTGTCCTGGCCCAATGCCACTCATTCTCCTTATCAATGTCCTAGAGAAAAAGTGAAATACTTAAAACTGCCAAATCTTCCAGCTATGGGTTTTCAAAACAAAAATGGTCAAGGGCATCTGTGCAAGTGCTGTACATTCAAACAATGCATACTTTAACACACGCAAATTCAAAGTCTTTGATCTTGGTACAAAGAAAACTCACTGCTGTGAAATATACTTATACTTCTTTCCATACATTATTTTGTAAATATTCTGGAAAATTTGAGAATTTTCAAACACTTAAGAAAGATAAAATCAGTACATTGTTGTTCTGCACCCATCTCCCCTACCTTATTAAGTCACGAAAAGCACGCAGATTTCAAGCAATATCTTTTGGATAGGACAAGAGGAGCTGTTCTTAGTGAAAGTTAGTAGGAAGCAAACACAAACCTTATGGATCAGGAGGGATTTTGTCATACTCATTAATCTTGATTTTTCCATCTAATTGAGCATGTCCTTTTTGCCCTTTTTTTCCTGAAATGCAAGAATTTTTTGTGTCTGAAGGGGACCAGTTTCTATCTAAATAAGTGTTTGAAAACCAGCTTCCACAAATCCATCACCTTCAGAAGTGTTACAATTAAGTTATAGAATGCTGAAATCATGTTCTTCCCTGCAATAGAGACAGAAAAGAACAAGGTTCTGCCACCTGCATCAAGAAACTAACTCCAACAATTCATTTGACACCTTCTGTGAGGTTTTGAACTTTCAGCTGTCAAAGACTTCCATGAGTTATTTCACAGCATCCTGATGTGAAGAGAGCTTCAGCATGGAAAGCATTATTTGTGGTGTACTTAGCTAAAGAGCACAGGCTGAATTTTATTAAGTAGTTTCTTTCTGCTTAAGGAATCAGTCAGTATCTTCCCATATGATTCTGTAGAATTGAGATCCAATGAATAAAATATTCCACTTCATCATAAAATATGATGTTTATTAAATGCACATTAAAAAAAATTTACTGGATACACCCAGAGCTTGCAGTGTTATTAGGTAGGACTGGATTAATCTGCCTGATTCTTAGTAGAGTTTATTTGTAAAACATGACTTATTACACTGGTGTAGGATATGCTATACCGGCACTGCATCCCACACTTTTATAGTGACAATTACAGCTTTCAGCAGTCAAGCGACAAACTCCATGAAAGTACTCTGAAATTGCATTTTTGAAATTCCATCCCTGCCTACAACTATAAGCTCTGAAGAACTGAAATTTTAATAAAATAACTCAGGAGTATTTAATTTTCCTCTACTCTGGATCTGCCACTTTATTACACCTATTCTGTAGGCTATTAAATGTTCAGTCCTGTAAAGCCTGCACTTGATCTTCAGAATGTGCAGAGATGCCAAGGTATGACTGAAGAAAGCATGGAAAAGCAGAGGTGCAAAATGCTATTGACTTTTGTGTTAGTTACAACTTCAAATGAGAATGCACAATCCTATTCTCTCTGTATCCACAGTAACAGGAGGCAGAGATGAAGGAATAGAGTTGATTTAATTGTACAGACATAAATAAAATTTTCAGGCCAAGTAAAAAGAAGCCATTGCATAAACACTAGACCATTTTCTAGTACATCCAGCCACCTAGAGAAGGAGCTCATCATCACATTATGACATAAAATCAATATCTTGCAAAAGTCAGAAATAAGATCATGAAAGAGCAATGTGTTGTATCTACAAAGGTTGCATATATCCAGTTTGTTATTTAGGATATCAGACTTAGGGAAGGGAAAAAAAAGCCAAAAATCTTTCTTATTTAGAAGTGTGCAACAGTATGAGACAAAATAGGCATTTAACGGGCCTCTGTTTATGTTTTTATTGAGATTAATTTGGATGGGTTTGAAGGTGTCTCTGCAATAATCACTCCAATGAAGTGCTTAGAAAAATCATGTTTTAGCAATATTTCTGTTATGACAATAATTGGTAAAAAGAAGCAGCAAAACTGAAGAACTCTTGTGGATATTGAGGGAGCAATATTTATTACGTCTTACTAACATTTTCTAGGGTACTACTTGCACAACCCTTGTTCAGTAGAAGGACAGAGGATGATGAGCTTCCTTATACTGGGGAAAAAATCCTACTGATTATTTATTTTTATTAACTTTTGGAAGATTTATATCATTATAAATTAAAATGGTAAAGAAATATTGATGCAACAGGAAAATTACTACTTTATTCCATAGGATTGATATAATAAAATCCTAATTAAATCAAGTAATTGTACAGTGTAGAGGATCTTTTTTTATACAGATTTTTACTACATATGTCAATCCTTTATTAATGATATGAATGTAACCTATCTCCATTCAATTCATCTGCACTGGAGTATCTCAAGGTGAAATTTGGTCATGCAGGACAGGTTGACATGGGAATTAGTTCATTTTTTAGCACTGGGTTTTGTAAACAGACCCAATCCCATTACTTTCTTCCAAATGGAACCTGCTTCAGTGGTCATCCTACCCATGAGGCACTGCTATGCAGTCACAGAATCTTCTGAGTTGGAAGGGACCCACAAGGATAATTGAGTCCAGCCCTTAAGTGACCTGTATGGGGACTGAATATGGCATTATTAGCACCATGCTTGACCAACTGAGCTAATAACCCCCCCTCCTGCATATGTAACTAACCACCTCACATAACATAACAATGCAAAGAAAAAAATTAGCTCTTGCTTCCTTTTATTTTTCTCCCAAAACCTTAATTTTCAGAGTTAGAGTGAAATAAGAACTTTTAAAAGCAGAGAATTGTACCTGAGTAACAGTTTCAAGGCAGCTCATTTGGATCCTAGTCTGAGCTGATGGACCAAAGATTCGAACGCGTTCCAAATGAACGTCATAATCACTGAAATATTGGCTATTCAGAGCTCTGTTTCTCACTCTGGTTTGATAAATTCCTTCCTGAGCCTGAGAAACCTTTACTGTCAAAATTCCTTCTGCACAGGAGTTAGCATTTAGTATGAAAACTTCCTGATAAGTGCAAGTACATACACAAAGTTAGGGGGATGGCCTCAGTTCCAAATCTAGGAGCTATTGTATTATTTTCTTACTGCATTATATGATTATCATTATTGCTGTTTTTGTTATTGTTATTATTATTAATACTTAAGGATTACTTTAATAACTCTGTGTTGATTGGGACCATTAACTCTGAATTTAGCTTTATAATGAAAGTGGGAGAAAATTTAATGCCTTCTTTAAATATTAATTTATGGTAGAATATGTATGTGTTATGCATGTCTAATGTAATAAAGGTAACCATGAGGCAGAGTACATGGTTACCTATATATGTTATTCGTAACAAGAGCATTGTGGTAGTGATTTCAAGCAAATGGAGATGTTTGTATGAAAGACACAAAAAGAAAAGGTGAAACTGTGGCTTTTACTGAAACTGCAACCAAATATGTTATTTAAGACGTAAAATAAAAGGAAAAAGAAAAACAGAAGACAAAAAAAAAAAAAGAAAAAAAAGCGTGTTACAGGGGCAGAGTTGGAGGCATCCACTTTGTATCACAATCTGTTGTTGTTGTAAGTGTTGTAATTCAGCTGCAAGTCGTCAACTGAGAATTCCCCTGGGAGAGAATGTCTCCTGTTGCTCCACTCAGTCTCAGCAGAAAACAGGTGTGTGTGTACTGAAAACACTGCTACATTATACATATTTCCATCCAGTCTGGTATCTATTCAGAGATATGGTTGAACCAAATCTAAAATAAACACACAAGTGATCTTAAAGCTGCAGTGTGAATTTGTGTATGTCATCTTATGCTGAAGGGTTATGTATAAGCAACACAGTTGGAGGGGACAAAGAGTAGATAAAATTCCTAAATCTCCATGGGGTATACCGATTTCTTCGTACACCATTCCAATATATCTTTATTAAAGTAATTTAAATCTATGCTGATGCCTGTCCTCCCAGCAACACATATTTCAAGGAATGTTTTTGTCCAGCTGAATTCTTTCTATTAACTTCCTTTGACTACTGATATCACTAAGAATTTCCAAATCAGTTCCTGAAAATTGGGATCCAACTGATAAGATGAAAATGAGATGAAAAAGGTGATAATTGAGATAGGAAGCTATGAAGTCAGAAAGCTTTTCTAACAAGAAGTTAAACCCCACTGTTACCAGACTGGTGATCTGGTGGTGGTGGACAATACACTGATTTCACAACAGCTCTGCAATTGAAGCTGGATGCAGCAAGGTTAGACCCTGCTGTACTACACTGCACCCATGCATCTCTGCTCTGCTTACCACTCCACTGTGTCCCTGCCTACCTCACACATTACTCACCACAGTCTCAAGGAAAAGCTGTCCTGGGACAGCTTTGGTTTTGGAGCAGAGGTGATGTAGCTTTGACAAAAGCTGTATATAATTTATTCCTAATTTCTTCTTGGTCTTGGGTTTTAACATATTTTCCATTTAAATCTTGACTAGTAGATTTTGTAGTTACCTCTGAATTACTATATGATAATGAAAGGCTTGCAGAAAGAGCCTCTAATACCAGTAATGAGAGACCTACAAAATGTTCACCCAAGCTGAAACTGTCTTTTGCTGAAAAGGCTGGTGAAAGACTCACCTCCTTCATGCTTCCTGCACTTGGATGATGTCAGTGAGAGATGAGTGCTTCCACAGAAAGATGCTATTCCCAGGTGCATGACACAGAGTTCTCTTCATCTCAAAACTGCAATGTATAAGGCAGGGGAGAAGGGGAAAGTACAATCTGCATAGCTCTCCTGAAACAAAATGTACAAAATCTGCAAATTTATGGCTTCCAATATTTGGCAGAAGGGAGGTGGCACATTAATCTTTATCATCTTGCAAAATACCTTTAAAATCTGTAAACAATGCCTTGCCTTTCCTTTAACATTTGTGCTTATTTTATAGGTGTAACCACTGAATGTGATTTACAGTTTGCAAGTCATTAGTCTTTTATCTTAATTTTAAAGAAAAGTATCAGAAGAAAACTAAAGCCCTGTGCTGAAAAGCAGAAGACAGCCACAAGACATCCACAATTTTGTGAGAATGGCATGCTGATAGTGAGACCATATAATTTTATGTCTCGCTCATGTAGAGTCTTACCTAGTGCCAATAACAGTATAATATTGGATTAGAGAGACATCATCACTGATCTGAGTAGTAGTACCTTTTTTTTGTCCTTACTTTATTAGTGATATGCTCTTGAAAAGTTGGTTATTGATGTTTGCCACTGAAAGCTCTGATTTCAGGATGTCCCCTTGGACCGTGACAACAGGTAAGGATGTCAGACTTCTAGATGACAGAAATCTCTCCAGACTTTTCAAGTTGACTTATTCTCACATCTCTCAGACTCACAAATATATGCATAAAATAAAATGTGCACAGATCTAAACAAGTTCTTGTTGTGAGGAGTTGTGGTGGGTTTGCACAGGAGTATTTAACCTTTATGAAAAAACCAAAATGTCTAGGCCTATACACAACACTGCAGTAATATCTTCAAACATCTCATTATTAGGAAACATATCAATTATCCATCTGGAGATTAACTGGTGTTGTATTTCAGCTGTGAAATGTACAGCTGAAATAAGTAGAACCATATTTTTAAAGCGATTACATGTCATTTTAAAAAACCCAAAATCAGTCAAGAGACAAGAAGATTTGATAAAATTCATATACACATATGCATGAATTTCATGTATATATATATAAACAAACAAATAGACACAGAGTATTTTTGAACTCTGAAATAAATGTTCTGAAATCAGGTAAACATCTCCAATATATCTGACAGGTGTTTGAAGGAACCACAGTTGAATTGTAAGGCACCTGACTACTGATACTTGAAAACAAAATGAATTCAACTGTTGCAATTTTACACAAGTTCAATGGAAGTTTAAGAGGCTGCTTTTTATTGTTGGTGTGTTTTAATTAATTCAACATTTCTAGATTGTTTGTATGCAGATACTACCACAAGTAACACATAAGAAAATAAGATACCACCCAAATAAGTGTAAATCCACCTTCATAAAACTAATACAATTTCCTGTCATTCTTGCTATAAAAAAACAGTGTGGTTAATCATGTGAAAATATTGGTGCTTTCTCCTAGGAAATGTGACAAGAACCTTGATTGCATAGAAATTAGATAGGGAAAAATGCCATTTCTTCAGTGTCAGACTAACTGCTTCTGTGAGAAATATTGGATGCAGAATATGGTTTTTTTTGTTTGTTTGCTGTAAGGATGCTTTTCCCATAGTTTGCTTTATTTTTTTTTCCAACTGAGGAAGACATTGAACTATGGAAACAGTAAACATAGTTTTCAGTCTGTCTTTATCTCTCTGATTCCTCTGTGTTGCCCTCCATCCTAATTACTATGCACTAATGTGCAGGAATAATTTTTGGAAAATTCAACTGGCAGTGAATTTAAGACAGACTATGGTTTCTAGCTGTATTTGTCATGATTCTGTGTAGCCCTCTTTTGAGGATTTCCTTGAGATCTACAGTAGAGGCCAAGCTCAGTTCAGAACATGATAATTTTGAGTGTTTACAGCAGAAAACCTATAGTAGTCTGCCCAGTCTAAGACCTCCAGGTGTGCAAATGACTCCTATGATATACAGCCAGAATTGTTTGCAAATACTTGCATTTGGTGTCAGGAACTGGTAGCAGAACACAACACATTGGGGCTTTATGGGCTGCTTCTTGAGAGAGAGGACCAAAGGAATATGGGGAATGACTGGTTAGAGAAGGCAGTTGTAAGATGTTTTCTCCCTTGTCTCTCTAAAGGACTGGAAGCCAAAAAAGGGAAAATGAATAGTGAGAGAATCTGGGTTGGAATCAGATACCCAGAAACAGACAGGAGATGACTAATGAGGTTAGTGCTGGACTCTAAGAAGACTGGGACTGGCTAGAATATAGGAGAAAGAACCATTGAAAAGGGATAGGAAAACAAAGATGCATGGCATGTAAAATTGGTGAAGAGCTAAAGCACGTGGTGAAGCAAAATGGCCAGAGAAATGGACTGAGCCAAGGAATTGGGAAGGAAAGGTGAGAAAAAACTATGGATTGGGAGTGAGGCTAATTTCAAAGTGGGACTAATTTCAGCAGAAGGAAAGCAAAGAAATGTAGAAATAAGAAATAAGACTGGCTAAAATGATTGACAAAAGACTGATTGCAAGTGGGATGGTTGGAGGGACTGTAAGAAATGAGAGGAAGTCAGGCTAGGACTGGAATTGGAGACTAAACCAATAAAAGATAATATTTTCTGGGAAAATGTGCTTGATTTGTCACAAGAAGCCTGTGAGAGCATGCTCATGGAACAGTGAAGTGAGCTGGCAGACCTTGAGGGGAATAAAAGAGAATCTGAACTAAGAAATGTGTCAGGAGGATCACACAGGACACCAAACATAAGTGGAGTCCATGGCTTGGAGTGATTTAGTTCTCTGTCTGTCAGCTACTCTTTGTGAAATCTGCTGACAGGTATCCCATAGCTGATCAATATAGGACCTTACAGAGGTCTATACTCCTTATTCTTTTAGAACAGATGTCAAAAATGGGTATGGATGAGCCATATTTCAATTCAAAATTGTACATAGAATATGCAGGTGAGAAGGAAATTAATTTTAATTTTGTAAAAAACATATTACAAAGGTATTTTTCTTTTAGATATAAGTTAATTTAAATTTATGTTAAAATAATTTGTGAATAGTGCAAACTTTAGCATGTAAAATTAAACGAATGTCATAATGCATCACATTACTAGTCATGCTGAACCAAATTCCTTTTTAGCAAGTTGTTTTTTGTGAGAAGGAATGCTGGGTATCCAAAAGGCTGGTCTCTGTGGAAGCTCAGTAGCCCAGAAAAGTAAGTGTCCAGAAAGTCAAGGCAGCTGGACTGTCCAAAGATAACCAGTTTGAGGAAATGGGCAATATGGGCATTTACCAGCTGGGCAGCCCATGAAGGAAAGGAGACAGGTACCAGGAGACTTTCCAAGTAGGAAACACAGGTGTTCTGCCAAGGTATGGGCAAGAGCTTTGAGGAGTAGATTGCATTGTAAGTGATACCATGGCAGAAAGCTTAATGATTTGGCTGCCACTCTTGGATTAGTCATTTCTATTGAAAGCTGTGACCAGCCTTTGGGATTTGTTTGTAATTGTATCACTGGGGGCCTGATGACAGGCCTAAATGACAGTCCTGTCATTTACTCTAACATTTGCCAGAACTGTGGCAAGAGCAGAATGCTTAAGACAATGTAGTTCTTGGCAATGTTACAGTTTCCTTGGCAAGCTAAACCAGAATTTTGTTAGCCAGAAAATATGATTAGTTTGATAGAAAAGTGGAGAAATAACGTGAAGAAAGAAAACAAATCAGGAAGGAAGGGTAATAATGGGAACCCAGTTACAACAGGTGGCATTATGCAAAAATCAGCTAAATCGCATCAAATGTTTTATTTTGCTGGCCTAGTCGACCCAGGATGCCTGATATGGTGAGGAATGCTCAAATACAGATATGCCCAACCCTAAAATCATAGGAAATGGTGGTCTGGAAAGTAGAAATGAAATTGAGACATCAGCACCCCCTTGATCACTGTCCAATTAGCACTGCCTAACCAGTGACATTCCACTCTCATAAACATCAATAAGTCTAACACTTTTTGGGAATATTACAATAAGTGTACCTTCTAGAGTTATCTCAGTTTATTCCAGTACTATGTGGTGTTCTGACAAGAAATCCAAAAGTCTGTTTATTGCACATCTTTGAATTTCAGCAATCTATTTTGCATGTTTGGGGTTTTTTTTCCCATATCCTTCTTTTGCCTATCTGATACAAAATTTCATGTAACAGGCTGAACCAGCCCTGAAATTGTGAGCTGGTATTTGTTATTTTGAACTACTTATCACACAGTCTTTTGCACATTCTATCTGTAGAAGGAGAATGAACTTTATAAGTGCATCACCTCCAAAAATTGTGATGTGGGCAAGTGATGAAGGGCTGTTACAATTCACTGAGCATCTTTCATTCCTTCTGCAGACTCATGTAAGTCATCTCCTTCCCTGTCACTCCTCCAAAATGTCCCAGTCCCACAGATAATTATTAGACCAGATGCCCTTTCCAGCACTTGATAAAAATAAAACATGGCAAACCAAACCCCCAGATCCCTATTGGAATCATTAGGGAGAAGAAATAGCTCACCTGAGATGGTTTTTGTTACTACTGGTTAACTTCCATACTATGGGACATCAAATCTGAAAGTTCAAAATTAACAACATACTGTTTTGAATATTCTGACCAAATATGACTGAATGATTAACCCTGAAAAAACACTGTCTAGCATGAAACAGAATAACAAATATCTTTTCTTCTTCCATCTAACCTTTCTAGCTGTGATTTTTGTCACTTAGCTAAGGTGGTATGTTTCTGAGGCTTTTAGCAGCCTCATTCATCTTTGTCCATAGCGGCTTCCAGATAATGTTTTCTGCTTTAATGATTAGATTTTCCATTTCAGTGCTGTGTGTCTGCTTGTGTACTTGTCCCTTCTGTGCATGCCTTGTCAATGTAATTAAACATTACAAATGCCCATTGCAATGTACGCTGGAGGAGAATACTCCCAGCAGCACTGCCAGATGCGATCCTCCGGCTCATATCACTGTAGTTAATGCACAGACCTTTCAGCAACTGCCACAAGTGAGTGTGTCCCTCCTCTCATCCACCAGGCTGTATCCAAATGTTTTGTTTCCTTTGGCCAG